GGAAGTTAATATTATAATGCAATAAGTTTGATAAAAAAAATCGTTTATTGCTAATTTTCTGATATTTTAAAGTCACACATAGGTGCTATGAAAAGGTGTTTCTTTGTCTTTGTTATGTTAGTAGACAGCTTCATAGATGGGTTCACAAGCAAGGACACCTGCTGATTTAAAGATGGGACCAATTTACTGTGATATGCAATAAAATATATGGTTATTAAAGTTTAAAACACAAACAATATATTAAGCCACATTTAAAATGCTTCATAGCTTCTTGTCTTTTGTAATTCAACAAGACAGAAATAATTGTGCCAGCCAACTCAGAGACGGATGCAGAGTCAGACTCACAGGTGACACAGACATAATATTGGAATATAAGAAACCTACAAGAATTAAAAATCAATCAATCAATTATTTCAAACACAACTTTTAATATCTAAATTTGATTCAGCTGTTTTTGAATGAGGGTAATCACTGATACAGCAGATAGGGAAACCATGCAGCCATCCATCAGTAATCCTGTCAGGTTAACAGTTTGGATGTCCAAGGATCATACTTTGAACAATATAATGTTAGCATTTGCAGTTTAAAAAAAATTATAATTCTGGATGGATGGATCGATAAATATATTTGTACATATAAAGAAAAGGATGGCCAGTCTTCTTAATTGAAATTGTGTACATACCAGGGATGCATGACATATTGCTGTTGACATGTCTATCAACTGTTATTAGTCTTTTTTTTATTTTAAATATACATTTTCTAAAATCTTACTGGTGATTTTGAGCACTTAATTGTTTAATAATTTACTAAAATATATCTGTCTAACTATCTATATATATATAAATATCAGTGTATTTTGGTACTGTTGGGTTCTTTAGGAGTATTGAATCCATATGTTTGGAGTCATTTTTTGGAAATCACAAAAACTATTCAAAGCAGCAGCATAAGTGTAGATGCAGCAGCAACAACCCTTATAATCCCCACCGACTTTCATCACAAAGGTACACCTTTGATCTTTACATTTCTATTTCTTTCTTTCAAGTTTCGTGGATCTTACTTTTCATTGAAAGAGTATGACAAATCCAAATGCTAGTAGTGGCTAGAAGTGCCAGACAAAACTAAACTAACTCGCCTAAAGAGGAATGCTTTTATTTTGAAACTGCACATAGCTGTTGGAGCTTAGGACTTTCTAATAATCAGGATGTAGCTGCCTTAGCATTCATAAAAGAACCGCCCACAGTTCTCTCTCATATGTAAACTATTTACATATAGAGGTTATTGTTTTCTGACCCATTTAGAGGCAACTGAACGAAGCTAAGCTAAATAGTTAGCCAGTAACTCACCATATTGCGTCGGGACGGGGTCGGGCTGGAAAGTAAAGTGAGCTGCATGTCTTCGCTGGGTCTTTAAACGGGAGTTGCAGCCCGAAGACAGCGTCAGCAAAGCATTTCCAATGCAGCTTTGCTTCCCGGTTCCAACACTGGAGATGGGAAGTGTTTGGTGGGAACCACGGATAAGAAGCCGAGCAGCAGCGGCCGCCATCACTGTTGTTATCAGAGAACAGGAAGGGCAACGATTCAAAGCTCGAAGATCGCCTAACAAAATAAAAGGCTCCTTCACTTCGCAAGGAGAACCTGTGGTTAACTTATATACTACTAAGCTCGTCATAAAGAAAAATAAATCTTCGCATCTTAAAATCGTTAAATATACATGTATACAATACATAATAATATGACTTAATACATAGTTCTCAACAAATAATAACATTTAATTCGAAAAAAAATTAATAAATTGCAGAGTGGGCGCTCCCTATTTTGTCTCCCGTCGCAACGTCAACACATGTGAGCGGAGCCAGGCTGTGATTAGTCTAAAAAGGAGGCGGTTTCAGCCAATGGCCTCAGCGTTCAGATTTCAATTGGTCAAACCACATTCTGGGAGAAGTTCAATGGATTGGCACCTAAAAACTGTGGAAGCCCGTTACCGCCACATGAAAGTAAAAAATGCCAGGTAGAAATCATAATTATGAGATACAAAGTCATAATTTCGACTTTCAAGGTCATAATTATAAAAAAAAGTCAGGATTTTAAGTTGTAAAGTCATAATTATTAGTTACAAAGTCCTAATTTCAACTTTCAAAGTCATAATCATAAACAAAGTCATAATTTTGAGTTTCAAAGTCATAATTATGAGATTCAAAGTCATAATTATTAGTTACAAACTCATAATTTCGACTTTCAAAGTCATAATTTTTAGAAACAAAGTAATAATTATGAGTTACAAAGTCAATCATAAACAAAGTCATAATTTCGACTTTCAAAATCATAATTATGAGCAGAGATGGCAAAAGTACTCACTTTCCGTACTTGAGTAAAAGTACAGATACTTGTGTTAAAAAATACTCTGGTAAAAGTGGAAGTACTGATTAAACTTCTTTACTCAAGTAAAAGTAACAAAGTACAGGCTTGTAAATTTACTTAAAGTATAAAAGTAAAAGTAGAAACCACTTTTCATGCCGTTGCCTACATTTTAAATGGATGTCTGCCAATAGGACTAGATCTCCGTTGTGTTCATTTTCAATCATCTCGTCGTCCATACTACTATGCTAACGCCACCGCCACCAAGCTGCAATGATTTGCCGCCAATGAATACCGCCGAATCTGTCGATTCATCTTGTAGCGGTGCGTCAAATGCAACGTAGATTCCCATCCAATTAGATTGAATTTGGTATTGATGACGTGAAAAATAATAACGGTAACTCCATTGAAATGATTCAAAACTAAAGTAACGAGCCAATTTTTAAAAATGTAAGTAGTAGAAAGTACAGATATTTGTGTAAAAATGTAAGGAGTAGAAGTAAAAAGTCGCCATAAAAATAAGTAGTAAAGTAAAGTAAAAATATCAGAAAAATCTACTTGAGTACAGTAATGAAGTATTTGTACTTCGTTACTTCCCATCTCTGATTATGAGAAACAAAGTCATAATTATGAGTTACAAAGTCATAATCATAAAGTCATAATTATTAGTTACAAAGTCATAATTTCGACTTTCAAAGTCATAATTATGAGTTACAAATTAGATTAAAAGTCATAATTATGACTTTGACACTCGAAATTATGACTTTTTAACTCATTATTATGACTTTGTATATAATTATGACTTTGAATGTCGAAATTTTTATTTTGTATGTCATATTTGAATGTCGAAATTTTTACTTTCTCATAATTATGACCTTGACAGTCGAAATTATGAGTTTGAATCTCATAATTATGACTTTTATTTGGCATTTGTTTATTTTCATGTGGCGGAAACGGGCTTCCATAGAAGCTGACTACATGGTGAATTAAATATCAAGTCAAAAGGATCACTGATATAGTGAAGACCTTACGAATATCTATCGAAAAGTAGTTTGAGTTTAAAATGTATCCTTATAACTGGGTCGATCATTTTATACAGTTGCAGGGGAAATCTTGAGTTTAATTATCAAAGAGCTACGGTGGATAAAGTAGCCTAAATTAGTATTTAAGTAAGAATGACACTATTTCATCACATTGTTACTCACGTAAGAGTACAGGGTAGCCATGCAAGAAATTCCTCAAGTTAAAGTAAATAAAACTAAACCGATATTCAGTATCAAGTCTACCCAAGTACTAACTCCTTATAACATCTGATTTACTGTTTAAAATTAGCTAATAAGACAGACCAAAATGTAAATTATAAGCAACTTCTGGTAGAATTAGCAAATAACTTTACATTTAGTAACTTACAATACTATAAGCAGGGGTAGACTTATCATGTAGTTAAAGTAGGCAACCACCTTGGGCCCCCAATCAGCAAAGGGCCCCAGGTGGGATATTTACGTATTCATCTTTACAATAAAACAAAATATATGATTTTGCATCAAAACAATGAAAATAAGTAAGACATAATACAAAATAAGTTTCCACCTTCCCCTTTCCAAAAATAGGAATGGACTAATTCTTCTCATCACGTAAAACAGTCAGAGGTGAGGTGTGCAGATCAAGCAAGTAGCGGGAGAGATCAGGAAGTAGAAAGATAAAGCATAACCATAAAAATATATCTTGTTTGATTAAAGACAATTTACACCAAATTGTTTATTGTTGAAACAAAATGTAATAGTATGAATATTATTTCATTATGAAACTATTAAAGGTATATTGGGTATGTTTTCTTCATAGGGATATTTGGATATTTTATTTCTTTGTTCCCTCCTTCAAGGAGTTAAAAGCCACAACCTCTCTACCATTCAGCATGTTGCCGATTCAGACTCATCACCCATTTAGTATTAAGCACTGGGGTACACGGCCGTAAATTTACAGCTCCCATATGGAATCAGACCTGAACCTTCAGAGGCAAATAAATGCAGTTATTGAGTCAGCATCTCCAGGATTAAAGGACTAATGTCCAAGAAGGATCTAGAAAAACGCGTTCATGCATTTATCTTTAGTAGAATTGATCACTGCAACAGTGTCTTCATAGGTTTGCCTAAAAAGTCCATCAGACAGCTGCATCTGATTCAAAACGCTGCTGCCTGTGTCCTCACAAGAAATAAGAAAGTAGAGCACATGAGCCCGTTCTGAAGTCCTTTCACTGGCTCCTTGTAGCTCAAAGAATAGACTCTAAAATCCTTCTTATAATAAATCGCTGAATAGGCAATGTATAAATGTTAATAGTGCCAAAAACCTCCACTGACAATATCTAATCCTTACTGTATTGGTTCACCGGATATGAAGTTAGATTTTTGGATGTTTACTGAAAGGAAAGGCTAATTTTACATGATACATGTGTGGTTTTATTGGAGAACTTTTATTCAAGACTAGCTTGTTCTTTATTCAGTGAAGTTCTCTTTTAATAATTAATTTAATCCTCATTAGACTCGTAGTATTTGCCTTATCAGGCCTCTTTTGTACAGCTAGTGTCTTATACAGAGAATCAGAGCCATGGAGCAGCCTTCCCACATCAATCCAAGAGGTTTCCAAACAGTTTAACACAGAATAAAACAGTTATAAATGCACAAACTTTAAATGGTTTTTATATGAAGAAATGTATTTTTTAAATATAATAACAAATACATGTTTTTAAATTGTTAAATGTAATCATTCCTATTTGGATTGCAATTTATTAGCCCCCTTGAGGGTTTTTCAGCATTTCTCCATTACACTTTTTTTTGTGACACATAACACTGTTTTTTTGTTGTAGTTGCGAAAACAAAGAAAAAAAATAAGTTTCTAACTGTAGACATCAGCCAAACATTTCACTCAGCAGTAATTATGTTTCATAAAGATTTTATTCAGGTACATTGACGAAATTTTGATTTCAGAAGTGGGGGGTAGGCGAAGACTTTTTAATATAACTATCTTCAGCAGTGCACCAGGAAATAAAAAACACAGAAAGATCAGTTTTAGCATAACTTTCTTTTTTTTAAATTGAGGATTATAAATATTAGAGAAAAAAAAAACACATTTGGTGTAAAATCCAAGCTTATAACAGGACTGATTCCAAATCAAAGTGGTGTAAGCAAGTTTCAGGTGCAACCGGCAGCTTCATGTGCAGCATCAGGGAGGCCTAGTTTCTTAATAAGTCATCTTCTCTGGCATCTTGGCTGTGCACCATAGAAAGGATTTGTCATCCCGGGTGAGTCATTGCCTGGATTTCTGTGAAACTTTATATTCACATCATGAAAATCAGGCTGTTAAATGTAAAAATTGGCAAATATATCTATATCTGTATACGGTTCTTGCCTGCTGAGAGGGGGAAATCTTACACTGAAGCCACACCGACAAGCAATTAATGGTAAACCAGCAGAAAAAAAAAACACTAAATAATAAAATCTAACATTGATCAAGTAAAAGAGGGAATCTATACGAGACTGAAAAAATGGGACTGCTACAAAGTCTTATTTAAGCAGAAAATACCTTTTAGGTATTTCTGTATATTTAGGGCTACATTTGAGGATTTTCAGCATTTTTAAAGCAGAGTTCTGACCAAGCTCAGAAAACAGGATGCTTTCACTCGGACGGATCAATTCAGGTATCATGATGCAACTGTGGCGTCAGCTTACAACTTTATTGAAGCCCAGATATTAAGTTAAAAAGTCCAACTAACCTGATTAAATGTTTGGTGTTTTATTTTGAAAAGTCCTCCTTACTCCTGAGGGGCAGGACATTAATATGTAGTACAGTGATTGTGATGACACTGCACATTTACAGGCATTAGCTTTAAGCAGCTGTGAGAAATAAACAAAGCAACTGACTGGGTCACAGTGTGTTTATTTGTCTAAATGATAATGAACATGTTTACAGTAACTTTTGCTTTACTAAATAAAAAGGACTGAGGATAGAAACAGTTTTTTTTTTTCATTCAGACATCCTATAACACAATACTTTAATAGTGGTCAAAAATTATGAGAATGAAATAACACAATATAAACAGGAACTAAAAGAAGAAGAAAGGTTTCGGGACAGTTAGGAAGAAGACTTTGCACATTCTGTGACATCAAGCCTCCTGCCGCTCCCGCATCTTTTTGCCAGATTCTGCAAAGGAACAAAACAAATGAGTGTTTGATGATTCAGGGGGAAATGATGTAGAGGATAAAACACAATAAGTTTTACCTCTGCGGCTCGGACGATGCTGTTTGGAGACTGGAGTGCTGCCAGGTCCGTTAGGATCCTTTTCAGGTCGATGTTGGACGGAGTTTCTGACAGAAGGAAAGGAACAACAGGTCAGTTTCATACAGTGATCAACGAACAAACTGCCTTTATTTATTTCAGCTCATCTGTACCTGGTTCAGGAGATGGTTGCGGCTTTAGCTGGAGGTACGGATGCACCAACAGTTCTGCAATAGAGATTCTCTCTCTTGGGTTTCGTATCAAGCACCTCTGAAATATAAAAAAAATAAAATAAAATAGAATAAAGCTGAAGGAACATCACCATGGAAACATTCAAACTCTCCCAACCGTGTGTTTTATAAGAGCTTTACTCCATGCGCAGTAGTGCATCTACAAAATTCAATAAACTTTATTTGCATTCCACAAATCAAGCCCATATATGTCTCACCTTCAAAACGTCAAGCAAATCCTTCTCTTCGATTTCAGGAAACTCAATCTTATGAGAGGGATCGATGATGGCGTGCAGCTTGACGATTTGGTTTGTGATGCTCTGGAAAGGGGTTTTCCCATAAGTCATGGCGTAGAGGATGCATCCAAGGGACCACACGTCACCTTTAGGGCTGATCTGTACAAAACCATTATTATTCCCATGTTTGATTTTTACTTCACACCTAAAATCAGCCAAATAAAGATTGATACCTTTGAGCGAGCTTTTCCTGGTTGAGATGAAGTGTCCTTGATGGCTTCAGGAGGCATGTAGTTCAGGGTTCCAACCTGTAGTATAAAAAAAAAAAAAAAGCATTGAGCCATTTCTTTTAATTCCTGATCGTATTAATTTGGCCCATGAATTCTGCATCATGTTTCTCTTCAAAATAAGTTTCTAACGTCTCCTTAAGATGCTGTTTCATCCTGTACATAATCGGAACTTTCAGACGGTGGATTAAACAGACAGAAATATCACCTACTTGGGAATTTTTCATAATGCTTGTTTCGTCGGGCTGGATTCTGTTGGCGATGCCGAAGTCGATCAACTTCAGCGAAGCGTTGACTATGACAAAATTAGCTGGTTTCAAGTCACTGTGGACGATACCTTCACAGAGTACATAATTTATAGGTTAAGATTACAGTGAAAAGACAAAAACAGGGCAACAGAAGCTGAAAATAAGAGAGAGAGGAGAACCATGTTGGTGGATAGTGTGGACGGCCTCCAGCATGTTCTTCCAGTAGAATTTCCTCTCTAGCGGGTTGACAGTTTTGCGGTTTCGTAACCAGGTGTTCAAATCCAAGCTCCCGCACTCCATCACCATGTAGATGCAGTTGTTGGTTATTTCACTGCAAACAAACATGCAACCATCAGAACTCTACAGCAGAGTAAACAGAGCAATCAGTGCAGATAAAAGGTAAAATGGAGGATATGTAGAACAACAATCTTGTGATTTCTTCACACAGTAGAAACCAGTTCCACCTATGATTCATCAACAGCTGTGAACTTACTAATCGTAGAGCTTTATGATTTGGTCGCTGAACTGCTGCAAGTGGTTCAGGTGCTCGATTTCATTTTTGTAACTTTCTATGGTCTGAGCATCCGCGACCTCCAAATCCACATACTTCACAGCAAACAGCCTCTTCTTGTGATCGAGCACCTGGTAGACCTGGGAGAAAAAAAAAAGAAAAAAAGTCATAAAGATCGACCCAACTTCAGATGAGTTATGTTTTACAATCATCTTTAATTAAATGTATATTTTTTACCTTGCTGGAGCCGCCACGACCAATCATCTTCAGGATGAAGAACTGATTTCCTTTTATGGTGATTGATTCGTTTGAAATGGAACTGAAGGGAGCCTTGAAAAGAAAACAGTCCATATATGTTATATTTGAACAGTCTAGAACAGGGGTCTTTTCGAGGCCAGGGACCCCCAAACTGATGACAAGATGGAGTGGTGACCCCCAAATTTTATTTTTATATATATATATATATATATATATATATATATATATATATATTAGAGTTGTCAGAATACTAAAGTTTTCAACTTGATACCGATACTAAGTAAAATATTCGATACTCAATATCATTTTCAATATCACAAGGATAAAAACAACGACTCCAAAATTTTTTCATTAATAATAAATACAATAAACAATATTTTGAGGTTGTATGCTGTGCAC